CAGCGGGGACATTGCCTGGGGCCCTCTGGGTCCACTCTCCTCTCTGTCACCGGAGTGGCCGCTATGGCCACTCCCATCAGTGGAGCCAGTGCATCCACGTCAGGAGAGTCTACGGCCTCAGCTGAGGCAGTCCCAGCGTGGGTTTGACTGCGCACCCGCCTTGGGAGCGGCGGCAGGCATGGGGGCGGTGGAGGGACACCCACAGTACCCCCTGAACAGGCCTCACTCACCCAGACTCCCCTCAGGTGGAAGCATGTGAGATCAGGAATGCCGTGGCCTCTGCCTCCCAGGTGGGTGAGAAGGAGTGCGTAGACGGGGTGGCTTGTTTAGGATTCCATCATCATCTCCCTGGGGAGGTGGGTCTCCTACCTAGTTCAGCTTGGGCAAGCGCCCCACCCCCAGAATGTCCGCAACATGACAAGAAGCCAGGGAGAGGTTGACAAGTGGTCAGGTTAGCTACGGACACTTCTCTGCCGATTGCAGATCCAGCTCTGAAAACTCGGTGGGAGTCCATTGGCCAGAATCTTTTGAAAGTCCTTAGATGCTAGAGAGGCCCAGGGACGGCCCCACGACCCTGGTACAGAAGCAGAGAGCCTGCTTTCTTCTGGGGAAGGGCCCTGCAGTGCGGGACAGAAGCCGGTCTACTGTTCATATTCCCTAAGCAGTGGGCAGTTGTAGGTAGAGCTGCAAAATCCTCAGACTCAGAAAATTCATGGAGAGAGGCAGTTTTGTCCACAGGCATAGAGAAGACTTTTAAAACTTTTAAGTGAAGCGGGGGGAAAAGTAGGGGGAAAAAATCTATCAGCAGTACTGACAAGAGGGCCCAGAGATGTGGGGACATGTATAAGTGACACAGAAATACTAGTGTGTTAGTCTGCGTTGACCAGAGAAACAAATCCAGAGGTACTCAGATCTGCACAGGAAAGAGCTCTATATCAAAGAGTAATTGTACATTCAGAAAACATCCCAGATCAAGTCCAGAAGTCCGATATTAGCCCATATGTCCGATATCAGTCTAAATTCTTCTTCAGACTCACACAGCCATGCAATAATGCCGTATGCAGGAGAAAAGATCACAGGCCAGTGGGTGGAAAGTCTTGTGGATCCAGTGGCGGTGGAAGCATCTCCAGTTGGCATGGTTCTCCGCATGACTCCTCCAGCTCTGGGGCTCCGGCTGCCATCAGCTTAGCTCCATGTGGCTTGTCAACAGGAATGTCTTGCAGGGAGTGAGCATGTGTCCGGCCTTCAACCAACTATTTATCTCCTTAGCGCCTCCCAATGAGGCCATCAAGCTGCGGCCTGATTGACAGGCTAAAACCACCCCCTGCACTCTTAATAGTCTCAAGTTGGCACCAGATTATGCAACTCCCACAATTGGCTTCTGACGGCTTCGTTCTTTCTCTGTCCTCTTCTCCCCCTCCCCTCCCTCTTTGTGTTTTGGGTGGCCAGAACTCGCGATGCCCTCTGACCAGTATGAGCTGCAGCTGCAGAACAGCGTTGTGGGTGCTGAGGGAGACCCGGCCCGGCCTGTCGCCGTCCTGGCCCAAGAGACATCCACCGTCACCACCTTGCAGCCTGGACAGAGCAGCCTGGTCCTCAGCCACAGGAGTATCCTCTGTCCCGGCCTACGCATGCACACGTGTGTGTCATGTGTGCAAGACACTTTGCTTTTCTAAAAGTCTCCCTGGAAGTCAGGGTGGGGCTAGAAAGAGTGATGTTTCCCTCCCGAGATCTGAAAGACAGGAAGACCCGAAATAGCAGCACCACCATCGAGTGGAATTGCTCACCTCTGCAGATGAGTCACGGAGAGGCTCCCTGAGCTGCTGCGGGCCGCGAGGGAACAGGTTGTCACTCTGCGCCCCCGGAGATGCCTCTCAGTGGGGCTGGCCAAGGCTGTTTCCATCCCGGCTGCCGTGGGTGGCTGCCGTTTTAGATGTATCTGTGTGCCCAAGGGATCTCCAGAGCCCCTGGCAGACGTTCCCCTGGGCCAGTGTTGGCAGCAGTGTGCCCTTTGATTCTGAACAGCTATGCTGCCCTACTAAGCCCAGTGGGTGATGCCCCCCCTTTCACCCCAGTGGGACCCGGGCTGAGACCTGCCCCAGGGCTGCGTGTTGTCGTGTGCTCCCCCTTATCTCAGGCCACAGGCATTCGCATGCAGGGAGCTTCCCGGTTACCCAACAGCACGATCTACGTGGTCGAACCAGGATACCTGGGTGAGTGTCAGCCTCTGGAACCTTCCCTCCCAAGTGTTGTTCATTGATGGTGAAATAGTTTAAAAAATTTTTTTTTAAAGAGAGGAAGCAACAGGCTGACAAAAGGCTTCACCTCGAGCCCCTCCTACCTCGGAGACGGCTACCTGCCCTTGTCCACCCATGTGCAGAAGTCAGCAGGATGTCGGGGGGCTGATCCAGATGGTCGGAGGAAGGGCACCCGCAGGGCAGAGTGGTGGAGGCCTTTGTCTCCTCCTGGTTCCTCTGGCTTCTGCTGTGGAGGGCTGGGAGGGCCAGTGGCCAACTCAGCCCTGTAGGAGCCCCTAAAGGGCGTGTGTAGTGGGAAGTGCATTTGGCCTGGAGAGGAAGGGGGAATGTGCAGCAGCAGTCAGGAGCGGGACAGCCCATCTGAGCCCTGCACCTTGTCAGGAGAGCAGGCTGAGAAATGCCCAGCTGCACCGCCGACCTGGGTCTCCATGGCAACGCGTCCTCCGTTGGGACAGTGGAAACCCTAGTGGGGCTTGCTGCTGCTGGCTAGGCGGCTTGGGTGAAGGAAGCTCGTCACCTGCGACAGTGCAGTGGCAGTGGGTAGAGAGGCCCTCGGTGCATGCTTGGTGCTTTCCAACGTCGTGCTGGGCATGGGAGCTCCCAGGAAAGCAAGGCGTGTTCTTTCCGTGGGGGACAGGGAACCGCATGGCCAGGTAGCAGCAGGGCAGTCGTAAATAATTCATCTGTGGGCACAGAGGCACAGTGTCAGGGCAGTGATATTGGCGGTCGGTGTTTTCTTGTGGAATTTTTTTTCCCTCCAGAACTGGGCCTGGCTGGCAGAGGAAAGAGTCGTGGTGGTGATGGTGCGGGAAAGAAAGTTGGTAGTCAGGACTACCCATAGTGTCGTGGGCATGAGCAGACAGGCTAGTGAGGGAGAGCCTTGCAGGTGGGCAGAGGGCAGAGAGACCTGGCTGGGTAGGTGTGCATGGGGAGGGCTTCCAGGGCCCACTGAGCACATTGGCTTACCTGTGGACAGGATGCAGTATGGCCAGCAGTGAGCAGTCTGGAAATGCTCATCAGTGGCCCCTGAGGTCCAGGAAAGATGGTTCAGGTTCCGTTAGCCCTGCACGGCAGCCAATAACCCTGGCTCTTGGCTGTGGGGGTCAAGTGAGAGGTATGGAGTCTCTGGCCCCCAGCTCTGTGCCCATGACAGTGTGGGGCCATGCTCTCCACCGTGCTGCCTCTGGGCCTGAGGGCTCAGGCTCGGCCATGCTCCTGTCTGCAGGTTTTGTGATTCACCCTGGTGACCGCTGGGTGCTGGAGACTGGCCGCCTGTATGAGGTGACCGTTGAGGTGTTTGACAAGTCCAGCAACAAGGTCTACCTGTCAGATGTGAGTGGCCATGTTGGGTCCTGGGGGTGGCAGTGGTGGTGGTTGGGGGGCGGGGGCGGGGGGCGGGCTCCTCCTGGAGTTACAGCCCTGCAGCGCTGCAGTCTCCAGGCAGGTGGGCAGAATTTGAGTCCTTTGCATCCAGAGGGTCTGCTGGGGTGTGAAAAATGAGGTTGAGGGCTTCGGGGCAAGTGGAGGGGGGGTGGCGGCGCATCTAAGAACCTCTGAGTCTGCAAGCTGTGGCAATGCCAGGCCATGCTTCCAGGGAGCCAGAGGGCTCTGCTTCTCCTCCAGACTAGAGGTGCCATTGCTGGAATCCGTTCTACCTGGTCGGCACAGGATCAGGGAGCACCTGCTGACACTTCCAGGAGCGTCCATCCCATAGCTCCGCCCGAGGCGGTCTCCGTGTGGCTGCAGTAGCCTGCTGCCTGGGATCTGCAGAAATCCCCAGGGCACCAGAGCATTAAGGCCCCTGCTGGGGTCCTGGATCTTGGGGAGGAGGCGGCAGGGGGCATATTTTGGCTTCTTTGCAGCAGTCGGTGCTTCCCTCCTGTCACTAAGTAGACAGCTGCCGGGTTGATGGGTTTAAAGGGGTTTTGATGCCCTTTCGATTTTTCGATGGTGTCCTTGCCCCAGGGGACTGAGAAGGTGGGTGGTAAGGTGAGCCCCACAGGATCACCAGGCTCTGTAGGAAGGCAGCCGAGAGGAGCCCACAGTCCGAGGTGGGTGGGGACCCCGCTGGGTGCCCTGTTCTCTGCTGGGACTGGTCTGGCTGCTGCTCAGGGCCCATTGCTTTTGTTCTTGACTTCCACCCACCTGCCTTGCCTCCCAGAACATCCGCCTCGAAACCGTGCTTCCTCCGGAGTTCTTCGAGGTGCTCACGTCCTCCCAGAACGGATCGTACCATCACATCCGGGCCATAAAGAGGGGCCAGACGACCATCGATGCGACCCTCACCTCTGTGGTGGACCAGGCACGGCGGCCCCCAACCCTCAGCCCACAACGCTGGCCTCTTCTGGGTTGTCTAACTTCCCCCCCATCTCTAACTGAGCTGCCCTCGCTCATGCCTGGAAACCCTGCCCTCTGGACTCCACTAAGCAGGAGGACCTGGGCAGTGTGGGCGCCGGACTCCCTTTCTCTGCCCCCTTTCCAGTAAAAGCCAGGTTGCTCTTCCTGGAAATCGGGGTTAGGAACCTATTTGGGGAAGTAGGGTGCTGACCCAGGGCAGAGCGTCCAGCTCCACCCTAACCAGGTGGCACCTGCATCCCTTTGGCTGTTTGGACTCTGCTGGGCCCTGGCTCTTTTTCTTTTTTTTAAGGCCAGTCAAGTTTGGGTTGGAACTATGTATTACTGACTGGAAGTTGGCTCTGGTTTTCCCATTTTCCAGTTATTTTAGTGGGTGCAGAATAGGGCTACTAACGGAAAGGTCAGCCGTTTGAACCCACTGTCTGCTCCGTGGGAGAAAGAAGCGGCAGTCTGCTTCTATCAAGGGTTGTGGGAACACCCCCGGGGCAGCTCTACTGTGCTCTGTAGGGCCACTGTGATTCTGAATGACCTCAAGGGAAATTGAGTGGCTTTGGCTTTGCTGTTAGTGATGTGGTGCTGCTGTAACAGAAATATTGCAAGTATAAACAGAAACTCAACCTCACACATCAAAAGGCCAGAAGCCCAAAGTCAAGGCACCAGCTCTAGGGCAAAGCTTTTTTTATTGGCTCTTGGGGAAGGCCCTTGTTTCAACATCCGAAGGCCTGGCATTTCCTAGAGATCTCCATGTGTCTCATCCCCAATTGTCCCCTGGTCTAGGAGTTTGCCAGCATAGCGACCCCAGGTCCAGAGGCCATGCTGCACGCCTGGGTCTTCTTTCTTGGTGGCCGTAGGACCCACTAATCCTTGCTCACTGTTTGATCTCTTATATCTTAAAGGAGATTGATTCAAATGACAGCTTCATCCTGTAGATTGTATCTGACCTCACTAAATAAAACCCACGAATCCTGTCCATAATATCATAGAGCTTAGGATTTATAAGACAACGCATTGCTACGTCAGGTCACACGATGGGGGGATCACACAGCAAGAGGACACATATTGTGGGGAGGATACCCTTCGATGTAGGACCGCTACCCTGCATGCAACCTCTCCCCAAACTATAACAAACATGCTAGATGTGTTGGGAATCTTTGAACCAGACAGCAGGTTTCTATCAAAGTCTACTGGGGAGACTTGGGGCACGGTGCCGGATAGCCCTCTGAGCCCCACTTTCTCCTGTCTGCGGAGTGGGGTCATCACATTCATCATGCCAGAGGTATGGGGAGGATCCAGTCGGGCACTGTCTGTTTGAGCCCCATCCCAGGTCCATGGAGGGCCGTCCACGGAGACAGTGGAGGTCGAGGTGTCTGGGGTCTCCGCCTCCGCCCTCCCACCCTCAATGGGGCTGGCAGGGCCTGGGTGCCTGGGGAAGACCACGACCCTGAAGATCCAGCTGCTGTGGTGACCTGGATGCCTCACCCCTTTGCAGGACGGAGGGGTCCACATGCTGCAGGTGCCCGTGTGGAATCAGCAGGAGGTGGATATTCACATCCCTATCACCCTCTTCCCCAGCATCTTGACGTTTCCATGGCAACCAAAGACAGGGGCCTACCAGTACACAATACAGGTAACCATGAGAGGCCATTTCTGGGTGCTTTCCTGGGGGGCGTTAACAAGGGAGCATCGGGCTTTTTTTTTTTT